TCATTAGCCTTTTCAATAATATTTTACCATTAGTTGATTGCGTCTTGCTTATCTAAAGATGACGAGGAGTAAATGGCTTACCATGCAGGATATTTTTTGTTTTTAATCATTTTTTTTTCGGCTCGAAAGTTACTCTTGTTTTAATTAAATTATCATATTTAATACCCAGATGATAGAACAGTCAACAATCTCTACTGTGGTAGGAATAAGGATTTGCCCCTAGTTGAAATAAGGAAAGTGGCCCAACTGAATAGCAAGCTGGAAGAAGAGGGCGGAGTTCTCAAAGCAACCCAAATAATCGCTGATTTAATATCTACTTCATGTTATGTTTTACACTGATGAAGTGAATAGTGATCAACCAGCTTAATGCTTTATCTAACCAAATAGAGTATTCGAGGGTTCTCCGATTTGACAAGAATAAACCCACTCCTCGAGACCTAGCATATAATTTGCTGGCTGCAATACGCCCTTTTCACATTCGTAGTTGTAGTGTAGGTGGGAATTCAATCCCCGGCTATTGAGCCCCAGCCTAAAAATGTATCTCGAAAATCATTTTGTGCATCTATCACAAGAGGGTTTGGGACTCAAATCCAAATCTTTTATGACCTCCTAAGAATCAGTAAACAAAGTCATTAATTCAGTACCAACTTTACTGACTCATTTAGTCAATGATAAATTCGTTTTGGCATTATACTTGGGCTATAACTAGAAATAAGGATGTGTCTAATCTTCAAACCGGTTCAAAATAGGATGGGCCCATATTTCAGTAATAATGGGCATTGATAGCCCATTAAAAAAACCAATAATATGCTACAACCGTCCTAAAGCCCGGCCCATTTGAATGCGAAGCATTCGTTAATCAGCATACATGGCCTCTAGGAAAAAGCTCAGAATTGGGTGTCATGTGGAACCAATCCTACTTTGCTTGGTAAAGCATGTATGAAATACTTGATAAGTATGAATTTTGAACTTTTATTTTACTCATATTTTTAAATTGTAGACCTAATGCCAAGCAGATAATACTAAATTTGGGTCTAGTGAGATACAACTGTTTCCTTAGAGCATTTCTAATCCTGTTCAATAAAATAGTTATTCTAAATATATTTAAATATTATATTCTCTATTTTAACTAGACATTTTTTCAAAATTCACTCTAACCATATTTTCTATTTTAGCTAACTACTTCAACTAACTTTAACTAATTTTTAATAATATAATTTAAAAATTCAATTCAAAGCATGTATAATCATCAATCCAACCAAAATCATACAATAATAATAATTCTAATTATACTTTAAATAATACAACTTAATGACAATTTAACACTCATCTACTTTAAATAACAAAAATCAATTGCACAATACATCTCATAAATTTAAGATTTTCTCAAATGCTGATATTAATATTTCATAGGGGTCTAAATGTTAATATTCTATTATACATAAAACTAAGGGAGTTTTCAAAATTTAAAAGGGGTTTCAGAATTTATTAGGGGAGTTTCAAAATTTGTTGAGTGGTGGGGGGTTTTAGAATTTGGGGGGAGGGGTGTTTCACTCATGTGGGTTCTGCGCCTCCACCCTCCATTGGAGCATACCAGTGGAAGTATCCAGCCCCTTCCACTTCGAAGACGATGAAGCCACAGGGCACAGAAAGACCAATCACAAAATTTGCCACAAAGGAAACATAGTGAGAGAGCCTTTCTAGCTAGAAGTAGTGAATGAAAATGGGAGGAGACAAAATAGATAGTGGGATAAGGAACCGTTTAGAACACCAATTTTATAATTTTGCTCGTCAAAATAGCTAAAAGGGCTGTTTGCTGACCAGCCTTAGAAATGCTCTTAGTACCAATCGAATAATATGGGAGTAACAGAGTACGAGGATCAAGATTCAGACTTTCGTTATAAACTCATGTTTCAAAGAAATGTTAAGTCTAGTCCAAAGCAGATTACACTATACAATGCAGACAGCAGGGTGAACTCAAACATTGAATTTTTGGAGAATATGGGAAAGACGTCTACCGGTAAATCAATTCTCTTTGTGGGTTGAAGGTCTATCAATGCGATTGAAAGTATTTCATAAATATGGCTTTTGGAGATTTATCGTATGATGCATATTGAAACTGTGCAAACCTAACCAAAATCAAACCTCTCCTATTGCGTAAAAGAATTAAATCAGAGTGAGGGGTTTAATAAGATTTCGCTTTTAATTTCTAAAATTTTAGAATTTTTATTTATTTAATTGCAAAACATTGTCTGTACATTTAAATTCCTTCAAGATACATAACTATCCCATCTCAATTTATCCATGTAACTTAACATTTGAAAGTCAAAAAATAGTTTAACTCATTTACATAACATTTAATGATACCAAAATATGAGGGATACAATAGGAATAAAATAAAATAAAAATTTGGTTCAACGGTCAATGATATCTAGGTCATCTTACACGCACCACAACTAATTGAAACGGATAGAAATAATGGATTAATGAACGAAAAGGGATAAAGAGACTAAACTGTTGATTTGCGCACAAATATCGGATTAAAATCTTACTCTAGAGTTGTTGATTCACAAAAATATTAATTCTAAAGGCTTCGATTGATCTCTTGATTCATAAAAAATACAATAATAATTGAGAATAAAAATAAGCTCTCTCAATTGTATTACTCTAAAAATTGCTTAGCCCTAAAACTTACAAGGGTATAAATAGTGCTAAAACTCTAAAACTAACTAGGAAATAACCAAATGTAACTTAATTATCGTTAATTTACGTAATTAGGTCATTAATATAGATTTTGCCAAAAAAAAAAAATTCAAACTACTTATACTGCTAAAAATTACTAATCACCTAGATTAAGATAAAATTGACGAAGATCAATTTTGATTTTAACCGGTAAAATTATTCAACTACAAAATATTATTAAAGATGACAAAAATGCCCTTTTTCAAATATTAAATGAAAGAATTTGCTCAAAATCCACCATAAGTCATTGCATCTCCTATTAGAGATGTTGTGAGTTCATTTCGTCTTGTAATTGCTGACTGGTCATGCGCATTTGGAAACTTATGTTTGTGGAAGTGCTTCTGAAAAGAACAATTTGGTTGACTGACCCGAATCACTCCGACATTGATCTCATTGATTTAAGTACTACGTTGCTATACGATCTGCATCACTAATCCTCCCCCGGTCTGGAATAGGAATAATTTTTGATAATATTAAAATGGCATAAGATAACATGGAAGAATAACTATAGACTAACCAACAAATGAGGATAAAAAATAATAATCAAATGATGTGGCATTATCATAATGATATTTTTGGCCACTTTTATACATTTGAAATTTAAAAAAAAAATTATTATGATAATATCACGTCATTTGATCTATATTTTTTATCTCCTTTTTGGTCGGTCCAGCATTGGGTGGTAATGTAGCATATCGGTCTGGAACGTTAATGCATGAACACCCATGCCATCAAATGGCAAATTTCACAATTTCAACCCATAATTGAACTATTGATGTGTCAAATGATATAATTTCAATCAAAAAAATAGAGAATTCTGATAATAACGATAAATTTATAGATCATATTAACTGTTATATTTTTAAATTAAATTTTTTACTTTTGATAATATTATTCTAAATATATATTTTCAAGATGAAAAATATTATTTAGACCTAAAAATTTGATATAATGTGTTGACATAGTGACGTGGTTTCATTGAAACCATTAGATAAACACCAAATTTTAATGTTTGATGAAACTCACAGTTAATCCAATTAGCGCAATAAATTAAATTTCAAAATCATTGTTGTTCCAAGATTATGTAATGTCTTCCAACAAAGGCAGTCATGAATGACACCAATTTAATATTCATAAAAGTAAATTTTGTAGGTTAATTTTAAGTTGTACCCTAAAGATTATCCAAATTTTAATTTATACCCTAAAAGATATATATTTATATCGATGTATATTTGGGACTAACTTTGTCTATTTTGCTGTTAAAAAAGTTTAGAACAATTATAAATTATACCTCTCAAAGTTTAAATATTTTATATTTATGATTCAACAAGAATTTTATCCATTACTTATTAAATAGTCCTTAATTGTATTGTATCATAACATCTTCGAGTCATGTTCAAGTTAATAAAAACAGTTTTCAAAATTTAAAAAGATTATAAAATACCTATTTTTTGCCTATAATACTCATTAAATAACTATTTTATGTCTGCAGTTAGACATAAATCTTTTAATTGTCTGATTAAATTAAAGTTCGATATGAATAACAAAATTGTAGACATAAAATAGTTATTTAACGAGTATTATAGATAAAAAAATAGATATTTTTTAATTTTTAAAAAATATTAAATAGTATTATATGAATTTTTGTAAATGTGAAATATATGACACAACGTAATTTACTCAACATAAAAATATTTTTTGTGTTAAAAATATTTTTTTATTGACTCAAACACGACACGAAAATGTTATGACACGATATAATTGAGAACTATTTAACGTGCATTAATTGATAGAATTTTTTTTGTAACATAAATGTGAAACATTTAAACTTTGAGAGATATAATTTATAATTAATCTAAACTATTTTAACAACAAAATAGATGGTAGTTAGTCTCAGGTGTACATCGATATTTATTTATATCTTTCAGTGTATAAATTAATATTTTTAAACTTTTAGGATATAAATTAAGGTTCGAGTCGGAATACAAATTGAGATAAACCCTAAATTTTTTATGATCTCAAAAAAATTATTAAATTTCAAATTGAGGACCTCTAAATGTACATCTGTCTCCACTGGCTACCCTTGAACTAACCAATTCAATATATTGAAAGGACGGTCCGGAGAGAATCATAATCAATCATCAATGATCAACCATGATTATTCTCTTTTCAAAAACAGAAATCGGAGGAAGAGGAGAACAGCAAAGCCATTACTAGTGTAGCCACAGAAAAAAGTGAGACCTTGAATCTCAGAGAGAATGTCGTGGCAAGCGTACGTGGACGAACACTTGATGTGTGACATAGACGGCCAAGGCCAGCATCTCTCCGCCGCTGCTATCATCGGCGAGGACGGCAGTGTCTGGGCTCAGAGCTCTTCCTTCCCTCAGGTCTTCACCTCTCTCTCTCTCTCTCTCATTCTCTCTCCCTCTATTACGATATTTATGTACGTGTCTAGCGTACACTGTTCATGTATGTTAATGTTTTGTTTGAATACATTGTTGATCGGTTCGATCTGTCAAAATGGAAGCCCATTCATTTCTTGTAATTTTTATAAGTTTGTGAATTTGTTCTGATTTGGTTGTTTATTGAAGAAATTGTGAAGTTGCATGTCAATCGCGCATTGAATCGTTTCTTAGCATGATTTGTGTACCTTAATAAGGGATTAATCAGCAATCAATATGACAATGTGGTTGCACGATCCTTTTGTCTTTGTTATGTTATGGATTGAATTGAACAAATAGAAATGAAATATGGATGATTGCATTGGGTTGGTTGTATTGATACTCGGTGTCAGTGATTATTTGGATCCTCAGTGGATGTGGTTGTTTGATAGCTTTCCCATTGTGGATTTCATGGACCGACTCTGCTGGAATTGCATTTTTTGAATTTGAAAAATATAAGGCACAATGTGTAGCGCATGCAGCCATTTTTGTTTTCATTATAGCTCATGTGTGTCAGAGTAGGAGGAAAGCTTCAAGAGATGTTTGCGTTTGATTTTACAATTTGTTTTGAAAACACTAGAAGTAATATATCATGATCTGATTGTCATCACTCATCACCATATGTTATTTTCCAACATTTATTAATAACTGCAACAAGTTGTTTTTGTCATCACCATATGTTTTCTGGTGCAGTTTAAGCCTGAGGAGATCAATGGTATCATCACTGATTTCAATGAACCTGGTCACCTTGCCCCTACGGGCTTATATCTAGGCAGCTTAAAATACATGGTAATCCAAGGAGAGCCTGGAGCTGTTATTCGTGGAAAGAAGGTATTGCACCATCTTTGTTGTGCAAAGTTATTCCTGATTTACATCGCTTAACTCGATAAATTATTTTTTGCCAAGTCAATTTGAATGGAAGGACGAATCTTCTCTTCCACTTTTAGAATTCATGCAGTATAGGGCTCTCAGCTTTTCTGACCAGAGGCATCTATTATGTAATGAGAATGGATTCTTTTTATACGCATTGTACTATTATTGGTGCTCTGTTTATCTCACTGAAATAGATTTGCTTGCTTATTTGTATCTGGAAGGCTTCTTCCGACTCCTAATATTGGATGGGAACCTGCGGATGGCTGCCAATCCTAAGTTTTCATTTGGGTCGCCAGATCAATCCTAGCTAGCTAGCTATTAGACCATATATTATGTGTTTAAAGACACTTTTTAGACTCATTGTTGTTCATAGTGACAGGTAGTGATGCATTATGTGATGCTAGATGATTGTGTTCACTATTGATATAACAAGGACACTTGTGTCTCTATTATGACTTGGGGTTCACGGGTTTGAGTTGTGAAAACAGTCTCTTCTTATGTAGAAGTAAGGCTACATATATTTGACCCTCTCCATATTCCACAATGGTGAGAGCTTCTCACACTGAGTTGCCTTACTTTTTTGTTGTGTGCGAACTAACTCCTGTTATTCATCTCATTGTTTAATAGCATTACATTACTTTTGGAGTCTTGTCATAGCAGACGTTTACAAATCATGATCTTATTAGACTGCGGATGAAGTCTTTCCTCTCTTGCATTGGTAAACCATGCCTCGGTTTTCTTTTGCTTGCCAATAAGGAATCAGTCTTTAGTTTGAATTTCCAAACTGAAGATGTTCAGCAGATATGCTATCCCCTCCCTGTCTTGGGCCTAAATCTTCCCCTATTTTATCGTTAGCAATGCCATGTGCTTATTTCAGGTGTTCTATAAGAGCCAATGGGCTAAACTTGTTCTGTACAATGAATGTCACTTGTGCAATAGTTCAAAGAGCTTCTGTTTTTGCACATCACTGGAGACTACCAATGCTTTCTCTTCATAGAGGTGCATTATTGCATCACACTACTACCATCAAAGTCAGACAACAATGGGTGAATTTGGCACACCTGTCTCTGCTTTTGTGCTCTCTCTCTCTCTCTCCTGTTTGTGTGTCTGTGTGTGTGTGTGGTTGTGCGCTGTGCGGCTGTGTGCACACGCACAAAAAGTATTCTCACCCTATATTGTGTTTCTGGTAAACCAATGGAAGAGACTTTGTTTTGGTGATACATCTGATAAATAGAGGAGTCTAGCACGCAAGCACTCACATTTTCAGAAATTTCTTATTCTGATGGGGCCAAGGCACAAAACGTTGATCACTTTGTTTACATTTTTTGTAAAGATGACTAGTGGGGAAATTGAAATTGAGTTCTTTGCCTTTTTCTATTTGATCTTTCTAATATACTTCAGTTTTCCACTTTTAGAATAAAAGCAAGCGTTTGTGATGGCTGACATGACTATTATTTTCTTAATTCATTGCTTGTGTTTAATTATAGTCTTATGTTGGTTTGGCAGGGAGCAGGAGGTGTGACCATCAAGAAGACTGGTCAAGCTCTAGTGTTCGGCATATATGAGGAGCCTGTGACTCCTGGACAGTGCAACATGGTTGTTGAGAGGTTGGGTGATTACCTTATTGATCAGGGCCTGTAGGCCGAGGCCCCGCCATGATTCCAGAACAACTTCTTGGGATACAGTTAATTTTCTTTTCTCTGACTTGGAAGTGTTTTGTGGTGTCATATTGATTTGCATTGCATTATTTATCCCTGGTTATGTGTGGTACATAACCAATGAGCAGTTTTTCTACTCTTTCTTTATGTTGGCTTTGAACTTTGAAGTATCAATTTTGAATGTGTGAAGAATTAGCTAAACGCTGTCTTGAGTGAAAGTTAGTTTCTTTCGAATCTTTCCCACATGTATTAATGATGTAGATTGATTTTGTGGTGTGCCTTAACACTTCCTCGTAGGAGTAGACTAGATCTGTTGTATATACTTTAAGTCAACAGAGCCTTATCCCAACTATTGCAAATCGGATATATGAATATTTTTCCATCATTATGCTGTATAAGTGTAATATTTTTTGCTAAAAGTGCAAGTCATCTTATCTTTTTCTATTATCTCACTAAAAATTAGTTGGATTTACCTTTACCGCGCATGTTATCATTATATGTATCACATTTCTCTTCTTCACTATTGACTGATATAATATTAGATCATCAATAAGCATGCTCCCACCACTTAAGTCAATTTTTTTCTTAATTTCTGTCACATTTGTGCTAATTTCTCATTTTTCATTTTAGAATTTATGGTTATATCACTTATCTATCTTAGCACCTTCATTTCCGTTACACTTAGTTTTTGAGCAGATTGTTTTTAAATTGCTCATTACTATGTACTACTTTGTAACACTATTTGTGTAATGTCTATCTTGCGTAACTTACTTTCCGATTTTACAAAATAGACATTGCATCAACAGTGTTTTATAGTATGATTTTTCACTGGTATAAGGAACGATGGAATTCCGCAAATAGACATTGCATGACATTTCTGTTTGAAGCTCGCTTTCGAGGGAATAGAAATATCTGATTATATGTAGTGTTCCTTAAATGACAACAGAAATGCATTTGTTGAGCATAAACTTATGAAAGCCACATGATTCTAAAATTGGATGTTCTCCATGAAATTTTCAACTACCAGGATACCAAACATCTTCCATAATACGTGGTTTTCTCCTCTCTTTGCTTTTTTTTTTTTTTTTGATTAAGGACAATGGATTTTGTGTAATCCCTCTACTTAGACGTGATCATAACAGTCCGAACAAATGAGGAAATCTCACTAGCGCTTAAACAGCAGAAAGTCGTAGGCACTTTCAAAGGACAACTCAGAGGCGTAGCCTAACTCGCACTTGGGAGAGTTAATTGAGTCCAGCTTTACAAGCTCGAGTTGGAGTGTGACTCTGGTAAATTTGTTTTTTTAAACGAGTTTAAAAAATTATTTAAGTTCGGCTCATTTAGAATTTGAGTTGAGCTCCAAACTTGAGCCGAACCCGAGTAATTCGCCTATTTTATATATAAACGAATTGAGTTTTGTAAATTTGAGTAGAGTTTTTAGATTCATTTTTTAAAACGAGCTTAAAAAATTATTTTAAGTTCAACTTCTTTAAAAAAAAAGTCAAATTTTATCTGAATTGAGTTCAAATAACTCTTTTAAATTGAGTCGAATTTTACAAGCTTGAGTTTGAATTCGAATTTGGAGAGCTTATTTTTTTAAACTAGCCTAAAAAATTATTCAAGCTTGGGTCATTTAGAATTTGAGCCGAGCCCCGAAGTTGAGTCGAACTCGAATAATTCAATTATTTTATATATAAATGAATCGAATTTTGCGAGTTTAAGCTGAGTCATTTAGACTCATTTTTTTAAACGAGCTTAAAAAATTATTCAAACTCAACTCGTTTAAAAAAAAAGTTAAATTTGATTCAAATTTTATCTGAGTTGAGTTCAAATAACTCATCTGAATTAACACCCCTAATCTCGCACCACAAAGCTAACTGTCAATGGAATTAGTGAAAATCCCTATGATGAATCATGTTTGTTAATTTCACGAGAGTCCAGAAAGATCTTAAACCACCAACCTGACGGTGTGTTTATAGATGTCATAGTCTAATATTAACTTCAGCGCAATATGAAGTGGACAATTGGTCAAAATTAAAGCCTCTTGTTTACCTCCAAATAAGAATAAAATCGAAGAAAGAGATACCGACTAGGGTTGTCTAGTGGTGGTATCGATCTTACTCCTCACTCTAAAATTAAAAGTTTGAGTTTTGAAATTCTCATTAGAGATCGGTGGTTGGCCACTATGTTAGCCTAACTAGATCTAGCTCCGAGAAGTGTTCCAGACGATGTCAGGAGCCTTATAATCTCACCAGTGAAGCCTTAACGGGATAACGGGTGGCCGTTGAGCGTTTTTCTTTACTCTCACCTATTTTTTTAAAATATCAAAAAAAAAAAAAAAACGACCCTCAATAGGAATAAAGGCTGAGGTCAAAATGGGTCCCACACTCCCAAGAAAGTCCAAAGGGGACCCATTTTTTGCAAAAGCAAGCACGATATGTTAGCATCTGATCTTTTGATTTGGTCCCAAAACTGGTCCATGCCCCTTTGTTTTGTTGCCTTAACAATAAAATGATACAGATCAATCAAAGCATGGTGTTGCCTGTCAAATCAACTGGCACACCACCATTGCATTGAAAATTAGGAAAATTGGGTCCTCTCAATTTAAAAAGTTTTCAGTTTTTTCCTAATTACATTCGCTCACCCCAAGTTGATGCAACACGATTGAAATAGAGTGAAAACGAAAGAATCTCGAAATTTAGAAGTTTTGGTCCAAAAATTAGATTTTCAATATTATACACTCAGCATGAGATAAATCAATATCTCATGTATTGTTTGCCTAGCTCAAACGAGATAATTTTAGAAAGTACAACCTAGATGTCTTAAGTTTAATGTTTACAAAGAATTATGCATTAATTGATTTGTGATGTCTACTTGTGATTTTTCTCATTTTGAGTTTATGTTATAATAATGAGTCCAAACAACATATGAAACAGTTATCGGCCACCAAATTTTTTTTAAAAAAATCTTGGTATTTTTTTTTTGTCTTGAAAATCAGGAATTTCGTTACTCTCAATTTCAAAATTTTTCTTATTTTTCCTAGATACAATCACTCACCCAATTTGATGTGTTCCATCACTAATAAGTGATTAAAATCGACTAATACGAGTAGACTCGAACATCAGAAGTTTGATCTTTATTGGGTATCTTTCAGACTTAACTTATACATATAATTTACAGGTGATCGTAAGTATTCAAAGTTTACTCTTATAGGAATTGGTCCAATATCAAACTTATTTAAAGACGTTCCTCGCTAAAAAAAAATGAAAAATTCTTGAAATTGAGAGATTTTACGTCCAAATATTAGATTTTGAAAGGTACACAATAGAAAATTCATAAAGATTATTATTACAAAGTCACACACACATGAACAGTTTTTTTTTTTACCAGAACACACTGAACATTAGAAAAATCAAATATCTCATATTAATGTCTGTCTGAGTAGCTCAAACGAGATAACTCCGGGAACTACAATCCCAATATTTGAATTGTAAGCTTTACCAAAGAATTTTGCATTAATCGATGTGTGTGGTCTACTTGTGATTTTTTACATCTCGAGTTTATGATACAATCATGAGTCCAAATAACACACAAAACTGTTTTGTATCACCAAAACTTTTAAAAAAATAATCTTTGAAAATTAAGAATTCGGTTCCTCTCAATTTCATAGTTTTTTCCTACATACATCCACTCACTCAATTTGATGTGTCCCACCACTAATACGTGATTGAAATTGAGCAAAACGGGAAAATCTTAAAGTTGAGAGGTTCAAAGATTAGCTTTTCAAAGTTACACAAACTACTACTAGATTTTCAAAGTTACACACAATCAATATTAGAAAAATCACTATCTCATGTAATGTCAATTTTACAAGGGAATTTTGCATTAATCGATGAGTGTAATTTACTTGTGATTTTATGCATCCCGAGTCTATGTTACAATCATAAGTCCAAACAACACGTGAAACAGTGCTCGGCCACAAATTTTTTTTTTTTTATAAAAAAATCTTGATATATATATATATATATATATTATTTTTTTTTTCTGATATAAAATTTATATGCCTTTTGGGTGATATTTTTCCCGGAGCCTGGTGGAGCAAAAGGAATTGCAAATTAACGTCGGTGCATACTAGTGGTTGGGACTTGGGAATATACGGTCAAATTATCCCGCATTTTAAAAGGATGGGCATGGAATCCCACTCAATTAAACCGATAAAAATTAATTAAAAAGCATGTCTGAGAGATTTGCATAAACCAAAGTATGACTTAGGGTGATTATTCATCCATTTATTATTATTATTATTTTATTTTAATTTTCGAAAAAGCAATCCAGAAGAATTATATATTATAAAATAATACCATTGATGGAGTCACGTCAATTTTCTAAGCTACTATGAACCAGGCTAATGCTTATCCAAAATATGATTACCAAAATAATGTGAATTTATTTGGGTAAAATTTAAAAAAAAAAAAAACAAACCACACACTCCTAAATTTAAAAAAAAAATTATCAGGTTGAGTTCCAGTCGATGAATGATCGGTGTTTTTAAATTTTACTTTTTTATCTATAAATTTTATGACATTATTATAAGTGTTAGTAACACTTTTGATCTTTAAAATATGTATTTCTTGTCAATTTAGTTATCATTGTTTTAATTTTATAAGTTTGATTCTTAAATATTTTCTCCGTGTTACTTTAGTCTCTAATTAGATAATCCATCAAATTTGTTTGACAAAAATGATCACGTGTTATTTTTTTAGACCGTATGACGTGCTTAACACGTGATCATTTTATTAAAAACTTAATAGTTCGTCTATGTAGAGTTCAAAATTATAAGAATTGAATATTTTAGTGAACAAATTGATACAATAAAGACTAAACTGATAAAAAAAATACATTTTTTAATGATCAAAAATACTATTAATCCATTATATAACATCATTATGATAGTTCTCGGATAATATTATTATTTTCTACTAATCTCCACCTATTAATTTCTACGGTAAATTGAAAGCAGGTACATCAAATTGGAGTTAATTGTAAAAAAATACACAAAAAAAAATAGAGTAAAAAAGTCCTTAATTTGATTCTTATTTGTGTGCAAGTACATTATTTGAAATTTTCAAAATTTTTTTGTGACATTTATGTCCTCTCTTGATCCATGCATATTTTTTTTTTGGAAAGTGATTTTGTTTTCAAATTATATTTACGCATTAAACAACTCCTAATTTTATGGGATTACTTTAATATTTCGTTTATTTATGCATTAAACATCATTTTGTTTGAATTTCAAATTTTGAAACTCAATCTTTGTGGAGTTAATTGTAAAAAAGTACACAAAAAAAATGTAGAGAAAAAAAGTCTTTAATTTTAGATCTTATTTGTGTCCAAGTACATAATTTAAAATTTTTGGATTTTTCTTTGACATTTGTGCTCCTTTAATTCATACGATTTATTTTTTTGACATTATATGTATGCATTAAAAATCTCATAATTTAATAGAAGATTTGATCCTTCCGTTATTTTTTACGATAAATGTATACATTAAAAATCTTCTAATTTAATGGAAGATTTGATTCTTCCATTTATTGTGAGGATAAATTAGTTAGTTTGAATTCTAAATTTTGAACAATATCTTTTATTATCTTCTTCTTCTTCGGCTTGGAAGTCATTTATCAGTGCAAATCTGAAAACATTATTTTATCCTTATCATTCAATCTAAGCAATTATAAGATTTGAATTCATGACTTCACTAGATTTATGTCTATCATTTTAAAGGTGATTATTCTGTTTTTTTAATATTCGAACACTATAACACTGTAACAATAACAGTGTAACAAGACACTTACACAAATTATTGAATTATTTTGTCAAACATATATTTGTATATAATTTTATTCAAATAGTCTATATTTGTTTTGAATTTGTTACCATATCCACAAAATCACTTAATACTGTCTTTTTGTTATAGTGTATTGTTACACTATCTTTATTACAGTGTATTATTACACTGTTTTTGTTATATTATGAGAGAAACACAGTCAACAGTTAGGAGATACACACAGTTTTATTCACATGACAGAAACATCATATTTCACACAGGCCAACGATCAACTTTCAACAATTGGTTATGCTCTTCAAATGCTGAAGTTCGTACATATCTTCAAATGACAAACAAATTTTCAAAAAATATATGTTGACGATCTTACATCAAATGGGTTGAACAATGAGATTTTTCTTTTAAAAACGAAATCATATAGATATTCAGGGAACAAGAACTCTCAACCAAAAAAAAACATCAAAATCAAAAAAAAAATGCAATAATATTTTTATTTTGAATAACCCATGATGTCAATACAAAAAAAAAAAAAAGTACATGGATTGACGAAGTTCAACGCTTACTTTATTAAACGCATGTCAACGAGCAACAATCAACGCATGTTTCAGGTTTACAAATACCAAATTATTAAACACAGGGCAACGAGCAACAATCAACGCCTATGTTTAGGTTTATAAATGCCGAAGTTCGAAAGTTTCTTCAAATCGCAAACAAATCTTTCACAATTCTTGAGTTTGTGTTAATCTAACACCAAATGCTTTGTAATTCGATGTATTTTTCACAGTCGAAACCCCTTTAGTTGTTTATAAAAGACAGAAAGTTAGATTTTTTCTCCGAAGAAGATGAACTGATTTTCTCTGAGAACAAATAAGTATACATAACGTTTTCTGAAGATGAAGAGATTCGTAAATAAATGTCTCTAATTTTCAGCAATTAAGATAAATTCCTTCTTACAGTTTTTAGGAAAGACAATTTTATAAATGGGTAGTTATGTCTTTGTATCTCAACAATATACTTATTTTCAATATATTTTTTTATGTACTTTTTTACAATTATGTCTAATTTAGTACACTAACTTCCAAAAGACCTTAATTTCTATTTCCATCCTATATTTTAGTGGATACTTGTAAGGGCTTATCGTGTAGCGATGTACATAAATGTTTGTGACATGGTGAGATTCGACCTTGGTTAAGATGTATTGAATTGTATTATGTGTTATTAGTGATAATTCGTACCTAAAAGTACGGTATAATGCAAATAATTTTGAAAAGAATGTTGATGACCGTTGGATGAATCTATTTAATATCGTCGGATAAACTTATTAAAATCTACTTTATTTTATATTATAGAATTAACCTTGTGACATTTATGGTCCTATTACATTCATTTTTCGTGTTCAAGTTTAGAATGTGAATAAAAATTTGTTTAATTCTTAAATAATTCATGCAATTTTCTTTTATTTTTTGTAAGCAAATGTAAGATTACAAAACGATCTAACCTAATTTGTTTAGTTAAAGATGTAGTTCTATTATAATCGTTAAATTTAACGCTAAATTTCAATACTTGATAAGACTTAAAATTAATTTTGTAATTATAATATATTAGTTCAATAAATTAGGTCACTATAATAATAATGTGGCCTACTGTTTATATAGTAATTAGGTTTGTCAGTAGATCATATTCTGATTCAAATCCGAATATGATTAACTGAATATGACTTAATATTTTTTACTTATAATCTGAACTCGAATTCAAATTCGACATCTGAACTTTTATGGATTTAAATTTGGATATATCTATATCTGATTCGATTTTGATCCGATCCAAATTATTTATATAAAATATTAAAGAAATTAAGTGATTATTTAAAAAAATTTAATTAAAATTTAGGTATAATTTATTAAAATTTAATTAATTAAATTATTCGAATGAAATCATATCAATTTAGTTATTAACGAATTTTGATATGAACTACAAAATAAAATTCGTTAAAATTATCGGATTCAAATTCACATCCAACTTTTGAAATTGGATTCCAATTAGAACCGATCGATTGACTGAGCAAGAGTCATTTTGTTAAAAGTAGAAAATATCAAGGGCATCTATGACATTTAACTTTCTTACACAACCCCAGTGGCCATTACCGCTCCATCTGCATAAAATGTGATGATTGCTTCACATTTCGTAGCTTCGACGCTATCATCTCTCTGAAGAAGACAACCACAACACAGTTTCCTCTCTCTTTCTCTCCCTCTCAGCTACACAGAAATCATCTGTAAGTTCGAATCAAAAACTCGAGTCGGAAGAACAGAAGCTCGAAATCGAAGATGTCGTGGCAAACTTACGTTGACGAGCACTTGATGTGCGACATCGAAGGCAATCATCTCACCTCCACTGCCATCATCGGCCAAGACGGCAGTGTCTGGGCCCAGAGCTCCACCTTTCCTCAGGTTTTTTCGTTGGAAACGATTTCATTTTTGATTTGTAGAAGCAAATTATTTGATTGATTTGATGATGAGCTTCAGATCTGATCGGCGGAGCTGATTGGGATTTTGATTGATTCAGTAATTGATTCGATCTGATTTGAAGTCGTTTCTTGGATTGAATTTGATTTGTAGATTCTTACTTTGATCTTCTTCTTTTTTGTGTTGATGATTTATGGCTTCAATGAATTAAGCAATTCTTATGTGATCTGAGTTGATTTATGAAATTATATGTGTATTTATTTGTTGAATATATGGACGACCAAGAGCAGCTCCAAGGGGAGTGGCATCAGGGGTGGCAACCCTTAATGCCATCCGAAATTCAAAATTCTCCACTCCAAGGGGGTGGCATAAAGGGTTGTAAAATGACATCAAGGCTCTTGGGTGGCATTTTTGGCAAATTTGGAGAGAGAAAGGGAGAGGTTGCAAATGGATTGATGAATATAGATCTGTTAAATTGCTGAAAGATCCAACTATGAATATAGATCTACCGAATGAAAATATGAAAATGGCACCCCATTTTGGACGACAGATTTATAATTGAGGGATACCAAAATACTGTTTAAGATTGCAAATGGGTGATTTGGCACTCCCAAAATGGCAACTCCCTTTGGAGTTGCTCTAAGGGATTATTTTGTATCTGCATAAGCTGTAGCTGCTATCATTCTTTACTGTGTGATCTGTACCTTTGTGCGCTTTGGATGTTTAAATTAGTTAAATTGCTCTGAAGTTCTTTTCCCTTTTTCTAGATAGACGTAATAAGTGTGATTATTTTCATACCACTCCCATTAGTTTGAAAACACCAAAAAAAAAAGTCTCAAAGGGTCAAAAATGGGAAAAGCTAGAAAAGAGAGGAAAAATGCAAGCATTATGTTTTTATTCCTCTGACCCTTTAGTTTATTGGATGATGGGCATCTCAATTCTCAAATGAATTTTTTGGAGCCAGATTGATGCAAATAAATATTGGGTTTATTTTTTAATGCAATGTACATCGCCTTTTCTCTTTGATGAACATTGAACACGCATTGATTTGTTGCCTTTGTCTCCATGTTATTGTAGTTCAAGCCAGAAGAAATAACTGCCATTATGAACGACTTTAATGAGCCCGGTTCACTTGCTCCAACTGGCTTGTACCTCGGTGGCACAAAATACATGGTTATTCAAGGCGAGGCAGGTGCTGTCATTCGAGGAAAGAAGGTGATGAACTCACACTCAATCTTGGTGTGATTATTGCTTATAAATATACATGTACTCGAGTGTGCGTACATGAACCTGCAGATGTGTTGTCCTGTTCAATCTGAAACCTAGAGTGTATCATTGATATTCCAAAGCGCAACGGTCTCATCTCTTCTATAGATATGCAAATTTGTTATGTTTCAAGTCTAGATAGTGAAACTAATACTGCACAGTAGTTAGCAGAATAGCTTACTTGAATCTCTATTGGTGAGCCACAATCATTTACAGACTTGGCCGTGGGTTTCCATCATAGGGTGAGTTAATGCATTGCTGAACACATTCTGTGTATCATGGATTCACTTGGGATTATTTGAAATTTTAGACAACTTTTGGTCATAGTGCTAGTCACTTTCTTAGATTGGTGTTGCAATTATGTTAGCATAACTGCATCTGAAGCTGTACGTGGAGCATAACTAAAAGACATTTATTGACATAGAATTTTTATAGTAGATCTTCGAATCTCAGGAGACCCTGTACCTGTTGCTTCTTAGAGCCAGTTTGTTGCTGATGGTTGGATATTTGACCGTTTGTCATTTTGGTTTCAGGGACCTGGTGGTGTAACTGTTAAAAAGACCAATCAGGCCTTGATCATTGGTGTCTATGATGAGCCAATGACTCCAGGCCAGTGCAACATGATTGTTGAAAGGCTTGGTGATTATCTTGTTGATCAGGGTCTTTAATTTATTTGGTACGTTTTGATTTTTGCAGCAATTTTTGGAGTGTCTTTACAAACTTAAATCTAATTTCTAGCTCTTGATATCTTTGCAGTGAAATGATAATACAAGGTTTGGTGCTTGAGAAGTGAGAAATATGGTTTCTTCCTGAATTCAATGGTCTTGTCTTTGTAATTTTCTTATGAATAATGTTATGATGATTTCGAGCCAGGCTACTTTTGAGTGGTTTTTCTGATGGATATCTAAATGATTGACATCTCTCGTAAGTATAATATTTGGTTTGTGTAATCATTCTGTGTAGGATTTTATTGTATTTGTTTCTTATCTTGGGATGGCATGGTGTCTGTGTTTGCCACTGCCACATTGCTTTAACAGCAAAGTTTTGAATTAAATGATTATAGTTTTTTGTAACCCTTCAAGATGTGGTTTGGATGGAGTTGAAGGACAAAACCCTTGATGCGGTGGAGTCGAGATGTGGGAATTATGGTTTGGGTATGTTAAATTAAGCTTCAGTGTTTGATCAAACGGACTAATGCTGATGGCCGAGATGTGGGAATTATGGTTTGGGTATGTTAAATTAAGCTTCAGTGTTTGATCAAACGGACTAATGCTGATGGCCGACCCAATGGCTTCTAGGCTCTGTATCCATGAGAGGTAGTGGAATTCTTCGAAGTCCAACCTCCCTCCTTAGTTTTCTCTTGTTTTATTTTCTTGATTAATGCATCGTTTTACAAAAACCAAAGCTGAAAATTTAGTTAGAATTCATGGATTCCAGTTTGAGATCGTCTGTCTAGGTCATTTTTTAGGGCTGACGATGAAAATATTCAAATTTGCATGTTTTTTTTCCTCGGTAAATTCAAATTTGCACGCTGCTAGTAGTTGTGTTCACAGGGAAACATACATCGGATGATATGCTGGCCTAGACCTCAATATTGTTGTATTCCTCTCGGTTTTAGTTTCTTTAGGTTTAAGCATGCTGTCATTATATTGAGGCACAGAGATGGGGAGGATGGTGACCTTCATTCCACCATATTGTGAAGAATGGTAGCAGCGAGGGTGCTAGAGGCAAGCTGTGTGATGATTTGGTGACTGTGATCAACTCTATATTTGTACTTTGGGTGTGTAATACCTTGGTTGGCCGGATAGATCCTATGCAATAATCGTTTGTTCGTCGAACATTGGATCCGGATCTCCTCTGGTACACATTCCCATAGTTTTCTTTATGGATTGGTGGGGCTCAACTTATACATGTGCAATTAATGATGTGATCTATCTTAATGTTTTGTTAGTTACGATGACATAGGAAAATATAGAAAGCTGAAAGAATAGATAAAATATTATGTTTGATAAGGAAGAAAAATAAAAAAGATAAAAAAGTAGATGAATTAATTTTTCTTTTAACTCACTAAAGTTAATTCTTCTAAAATGAGGAACAAATTAGATGAAAAATTAATTATGTATGTTAAAATGTATATTATTTGATATATATATATATATATACATATATATATATATATATATATATATATACTAGTTGTTTCTCGTGTCTGAAGACATGGAGTAATAAAAAAAATAATCAACATATTTATATTTACACTTAAAATAAAATTACAAACATAGAGAAAAGATAAAAAAAATTTAAGCATCGATTGTTGTGAGGTGAGTAGTGGTAGTGGTGGTGGATGATAGTGGTGATGGTGAGAGACAGTGATGGTTGTGGTAGGTAAGGCTACAACTATGGTGGTGGTAGCAGTTGTGGACGGCAATGGTGAAGATGGTAGTGAGTTTTGAGTGACGATGATAGTAGTAATAGTCATAGGTGGCAACAATGGTGGTGGTGGTGGATGTGGGTGGTGGTAGTTAGCAGTGGTGGTGGTAAGACGACGATGGATTTTTCTAGACTACAATGTGATGGGTGGTGGCGAATGACGGTGATGGTAAGTATGGTGGGGATAGGTGACAGTGAGTGACTGTAGTGGTGGACAATGACAAATGATGGTGATTGGTGGTGGTATGTGTGGTGGGGTAAGTGACAATAACTGGTGGCGATGGTGGGTGTTGATGATAGGTGACGGTGGTAGTGAGATGATGGTGGTAATAATAATAAATATAAGAATAAGATGACGATGATGGTGAGTAGTGGCCATGAACGACGATGGTAATAATCGGTGGCGAGTGATGATAGTGGTGGTGGTAGTGGGGTAGTGAGGGTGGGGTGGGGTGGGGGCAGTGGTGATGGTGGTGGTAGTTGTGATGGTCATGAGGATGGTGATGGGACAGTGGGGGTGGTGGTGGTAGGGGTGATGGTGGGACAGTAACAGTGGTAGTAAGGTGCGACGACGATGATAATGATGGTAGGGTGTACTAGTAGCAGTGGTGGGGCGATGGAAGTGGTGGGACAGTGGTAGTAGTAATAATGGTGGGGTGGTGGTGGTAATAGTAGTGGTTATGGTGGTGGTGGTGGTAAGGTGGTAGCAACGGTGGAGGTGGATATAGTAGGGTGGCGACGACGATAGTGATGGTGGTGGAGCGGTGGGGGGGGGGGTGGTGATAGAGGTAGTGGTGGGACGATTTCAATTACTATTTTTATTTAAAATACTTATGAGAAATAATTTTTTGAAGTACTTTTAAAAAATTACTCCAAACAGACCTTTAAATGTCTATTTTTTCTATTGAATTTAGGGTGTTAATATTAGCCGTTAGATTAACTTTAAAGTAAAATTTAAAGCGATCTCAATCTCGAATAATAAAAGTTATTTTGTTTATTTTTTGTAATTTGAATTGGATTGTACTTTATTATATATATTATTTATCAATTATATATTATGTAGACATTAATTTCATATATAAATATAATGGTAAAATATGTATTTATATTTTTTTAAGGAAAAATTTCATTAACACCCCCTCTAGTTAGGCATAAATTCAAAGACACCCCTTACCCATTCTGAATATTCACTGCAGTCCCTTCTGGTTTACGCTGTTAAATTAAAGACACCCCTTATCGTAACCGGTCGTTACAGACAATTAGAAAAGTGTTGATGTCATACTAAATTTTTTATGAAATGCCAATTTTATCCTTCTTATTCCATATAAAACCCTTGTCCCTCTCTCACATGCCTCAACAACTCAATCACCTAACTACAAAAACGTGGCAATGAATGCAAGCCACTGGTTCTAGCATGAACCAGTGAAAAATAATATAAAAATTTAGTGTTATGAATCAGTGACACCGTAAAAAAAATTAAAAAAAAAAAAAATCGGTGACACCGTACGCTTAAACATAATATAAAGAAAAAATTTAAAATAATTTTAAAAAAAAATTGGTAACATCGTACGCTTAAACATAATACAAGGAAAAAAATCACAATAATTTTTAAAAAAAAAAAAAAAAACGGTAACACCGTACGCTTAAACATAATATAAATAAAAATTTTAAAATAATTTTTTTAGAAATTTTTTTTAAAAAAGAACCAATGACATCGTACGTTTAAACATAATATAAAAAAAAATTCAAAATAATTTTTTTTAAAAAAACGTTGACACCGTACGCTTAAATATAATATAAGAAAAAAATTAAAATAATTTAAAAAAAAAAAAAAAAACCGGTAATGCCGTACGTTTAAACATAATACAAAGAAAAAATTTAAAATAATTTTTTTAGAAATTTTTTTTAAAAATAAATGGTGATTCCGTACCCTTAAACATAATATAAGGAAAAAATTCAAAATAATTTTTTTTTTTAAAAAAAAAAAAAAGCGGTGACACTGCACGCTTAAACATAATATAAGGAAAAAATTTAAAATAATTTAAAAAAAAAAAAATTATGACACCGTATGTTTAAACATAATATAAGGGAAAAAATTCAAAATAAATTTTTTAGAATTTTTTTTTTAAAAAAAACCGTTGACACGTACGTTTAAACATAATATAAGGAAAAAAAATCAAAATTATTTTTTTAAAAAAAAATTGATGACACCGTACACTTAAACTATATAATATTTATATTTAGTTTAATAGTACTGCACATAACACTTGGAAAATAGGAATATATATTTATATATAGTTTAATGAAAAATAATTGGTAAATATGTAATTTTTATAAAATTCATGGATAAAATGGTAAAATGTCTATTCCTGTCACGTCTGTTAGCCGACCAACACTGACAAGGGAGGTCAGTGAAATTTCAAAAAAGACAAGGGGTGTTATTGAAAATAGACTTATTTAGAGGGGGTGTTGATGAAAATTTTCCTTTTTTTAATAACAAATTTTAAAAATTAAAAATTAAAAAGAGAGAGATTTCTTTCTTAAAGAATAGAAAGTGCATCATTATTCTCATTTTTCGTCCTTTTATTGATTTATCCACCCTACCAAATAGACTATTAGTGAAAATTGAAATCCCCTTCATATTATTTCTCCCAATTTGGTAGGATGGATTAAAAATAGAAAGATGAAAAGTGAAAGTAATATACTTTTTATCTTTCAAGGGATTAATATTTCATTCTCTCTTTTGTGTTTGGTAAGAGGGATGAAAAGTGGGAAGAATTGATTTATTTTTTTTTGTGTTCAATAATAGAAAAAGTATTTTTTTTTATTTTATTTTTTTGGAAAAAGTATAAATAATGTATTTACTATTATATCTATATATGGAATTAATATATACATAATATGTAATTGATATATATATATATATAAATGTATAAACAAATAACATATATTTCAATACATAATTAACTTTTCATTCATTTTACCTCTTAATTTTGGAGGGATTAATTTTAGTAAGTTGAAAGGAAAGTTCATTCATTTATTTTTTCATCTTTTCTATTTTCCTTGTTTACTAAATATGATATTTAATTTATCTCTCTAACTTTTTATTTTTTCATCTTACCAAATAAAGTGTAAGTTATTGGGTGACTTTGCAACCAAAAAGGCTTCTATTGTTTCTCAAGAAATGAGAGAGAAAAAATGAGGAAAAATTAGGATGTGTTTGGTTAGTATTTGTAAAACAATTTTATGTTTTCAAATTTCTAAAAATAAAAGAAAACTTGTTTCGATAAGTTTTTTGTTCTCCATTTTTAAGAAAAAAATGAAAACTAAACCAACTTTTTGAAAAATTTCTAAATGATGTTTTCTCAGTTTTCTATATCATAATAAAAACACAGAAACACTCACCTCCTCTTTAATGAGATTTTAACTTTGAGTTTTGTTAGAAACATTTTTAGACTCTCTCGTAATTCTTCCTCTCTATTGAATCCAGCAGATCTATGTATAAACACAAATTTGTGTGTGGTTTGCTGTGTGCGATGTTTTTGTGTTTGTTCTGTGTGTGTTTGCTACATAAATGTGTGGGTGTGTTTGCGCTATGTGTTTGTTGTGTGAGAAGATAATGGGAGAAGAGAGAGGGAGAGAGAGAAAAGAGAAAGATAGAGAGAGACGGGGCTAGAGAGAGGAGCACAAGTGATAAAATAAAAAGTGGGGTGAGGATTTTGTAGATTATTGTTCAAACAGGTTTTACTATTTTTTGTTCTATAAAACTATTTTTAAAAACATATAATTAAACAGATTTTGTAAAATAAAAATATCAAAAAAATGTTTTTTTAAATTTTTTTAAAAAAATTATTTTTTCAATATTATTTTTTAGATGTAACTTAAACAAGCCCTTAACTTTTAAGAGGTGTTTGTTAAACAGAAAAGTTGTGGAAAATGAAAGGCAGAAAATTTTCCTGTACAACCCAAAGTTGCGTGTACACTTGGAGTTCATTTTCTTTGAAAATCTGTAGTGAACTTGGCGTGTAAACTTTGGCTTTCGGTTTTGGCCAATGTTTCACGAATCAGAAGGACAAACCAGATCTCTCCAACTTGTAGCCCTCTTAGTCGAGCCCCAGCTTGATAGCTTTCTCATTGACTGTGAATTTGGTGGAAATTCACGTTGCTTTCAATTTCTAGAATTACTACACTACGTTTTCACTGCCTTAGTTTTGCATTCAATCACTAGGAGAGAAATAGTACAAATGCATGGCCAGGTACTTCAATGATCCTCTGTTCCCAAAATGTCATCCTAAGCAATTGATGTAGTAGTCATTTTCTTATACTACTGCTATCTTTATTGTGATGTGCAGCATCGTCAAGGTATCGTGTGATTTCTTTACTAACAAGATGGCAGTACCTAATAGCTGAGAACAATATCCAGAACGAGCAGTATAGCATCTAGTTTGTTAACAATATAAGCTTACAAATAATAGATAAATAAATTGTAACCAACCCACTCAAAAAATTTGCAAAATATCATGCAATAGATTTGCCAGTCGAACTACAAATGCGGCAACCTATGTAGAATACACAATGCACGACTTCAAGTTTTCAGGCTTCAAAATGCGCATACAGATGAATAAATAATCTTACAGGATTGGTTCATGCATCCAGTTCTCACCCCAAGACTCTACTGCTATCATACAAAACTAGGAGGAATATTACTTACAATAGGCAGACACTTCCCTCTTATCATGTTAAACTTGGGAAAAAACTTTCCATGTAAATAACTTCCTTTTGCTTCTCCAAAGGCACCCCCCCCCCCCCCCCTCTTTTCTTTAGTTTCATTCCCAAAATCAAATTCCTTCTAGACATGGCCCAGATTCAGAAAAATGCAAGTGATCAGTAGGAAACTAGGAATCCACACAGAAACTTTTATTATGGACGACAATGATTTTGAAGGAATTGCGGTCACATTACTTGCAGCAGTTTTGTTGTTCCTGCAAAATTTGTGCAAAATCCAGAGTAATCAATATGAATAACAGAGCAAAAAAGAATATGAATTCTTAAAATTTGAAAGAGTGTCAAATCAGATGGTAAATATACCCTGCTGTCATATAAAAGCACTTGTCATAGCCTGCACAAACCCAATACAAATTAAAGGTGAGTTTTCTGAAGTGTCCTTATTATGAGCCAAATCTGGTATCTTAATGCATAAAACTAAAAATAATACTCTCTCTCTCTCATGTGTGTGTGTGGGTGTGTGTGATTGACAAATCAACAAGTGAAGAAAACAAATTTTAATAACTGGTGCCCCAAGATTGTGCCATGCCAAAACAAGCTATAGTCACAACTGACAAACTGAACTGCACATTTTAACAGGTGATATAGTGGCTTTCCCTTCAAACATTCGAATGAATAGGCAAAGTATCTCGTTTTGTATCTGTGTTTATGAATATTATTACATCACGCACAGTGAACTATAGATATTAGGTTCAAGTACATCTCTTACCATCTTATGTATGTGTCCAACAGGCATAAAATAAGAGTTTTGTCATAAATCACAGACCCTTGTGCCATGATTATTTCACCTCAATGGTGATTTACAAGAGATAAACCATCTAAAACGAATATTAACTGTTTCTGTGCAAAAGCATAATTTGTGATTGCACGTGTCATTTTTCCACAGCAAATCAACAGCATCAGTATTGTTCAATAAGTTGATGTAAAAGCAGCCCAATCCAGCATTCCCCTTAAGTACCCTTTTCATATGTGTGCACCATCGCCTCACCGGGCAGGGAACAATCCCATATCCCAAAAAATTTATAGATATTCATCTGACAATAAAGAAAACTGAGAAAAGCCAACGTTGCCATACACAAAGAGCTTGAAACCTAGTAACTTACTTGGATTCTTATTTGTTCTAACCCCTGTTCCTCCAAAGCTGCAAGCAACATCACTAGCTCCATTTTGTTGATAATAACTGTTGAATGCATAAGACGAATGTGATAAAAGGTTGTCTGGCTGAAAGCAAAGCTGGCTAGGCTGAATGGCAGAACAGTCCACACTCCCAGCACCACAAGCCCAATCAAGGGCTTTCTGTAGGTCAGCTTCAGAAGCTGTAGATGACGCAACGCACCAAGTTCCATTTGAACTAGTGATGTTTGCCTCTGTAGTCGTGTCCACAGGACCTCTTCCAGTGATATCAAGGCTATAGACACTTGTCTGGTCAGGATAAAATAACCCCCAGTTCCTCTCGGATTCCAACCCAGGCTTTCTGTTCTCGTTGAACAAAGAAAAAATATAAACATCTAGCTCCTCTCCAGGCTTTGCCGGAGAACCTGTATCATTGATGACATGGCGAATCAGATTGCTGTTGTAAGTCTGGGCGTTATCTGGAGTTGCAGCTGTCTCCTTGGCTGACCCTTTGGAAGGCCAGCCTGTTTCAGTTACCATGACTTTAATTGTTCTGAAATTTAAAGCCATCAGAGCAAAATAAATAGCATCAATCTGGGCATCAAACATATTTGTGTAAAGCAAACCAGTATTTTGGTCAATAACTTCAGAGGATGACTCAAACAGAGCATAGTCTAAGGACACATTGCTTGAGGAATCTCTATACGCATAGTATGGATATATATCAACCATGAAAGGTGACTGGTTGTCAGCAAGAAATTCCAGCATGGGTTTCAGAAAGAACGCATGGCTACTGTTAAAAGCACCTGCTGAAGGCGGAAATGATCGAGACAAAATGCCTAGGGAATGGGTACTGGAAACTTTGATCTTCTTATCCAAACCAGCTTTTCTCAGAGCGGTGTGAATATTTTGCATTGCAGGTACTACCAAGGCAGAAACATTATTAGGGGCCTCTGTGACTTCGGCCCCAACAGTTACGTATGTGATCTTTGTTGCTGGATAGTATGGGAGGATGCTGTTTTTTAACCAGGTGTCTGCATTGGATTGGAACTGGGAGAATGGCAACAAGTCTAAATTTGAAATCCCAATCATGAGCTCGACTCCAGTGTTTGCAAAGGCCTTAAGAACCTGGATATTATAGTCATATATCCTCACATGTTTGATGTTGTGAAGTTGAACCAGTTGTGCTACTTTATCAGGGGTGGGAAGGTCATCGGCATTTCTTCCATAGCATACTCCAATAGTGCTTCCGGTGCAGATACCTGAAACATAAATTTGCAAGAGTGTAACATATTGCCAAGGCACTGTAAAAGATTACGTTTTCAGAAACAAAGTGACAATCACCAATTAAAATCATAACGGAAGAGAGATAAAGATAAATAAAGGAATCAGTTGATTTATACAGATCTAAAGGCAGTTAGACACATTGCAAAAAATAGAAAATAGCTCTTCCACCCCATAAATCAGTCTCTAGACTTCAAGATACTTGGATCACTCAGCACAATTCAAGAAGCAGGATTCCAAAAATACGAATGATTCCATATCTAGAAGTAGAGTACAAACATTATCGGTTGTATTAATGATATCTATCACCATATCAGATGTCTTGCTCAAATTTCTTTTAGCATAATAAGCTTTCACAGTAATGTATAACAATGATACCTTAGTGACAATGGATGCTCACAATGCAAATAAATTCGTTCTAGTAATAGCATTTTGAAGTGACAAACTTCTCCTTTTCTATCCCCAAATTGACAGTCATTAGGCATTAGGCAAACTTTTAGGCATATTTACCAGTAATTAGATGTATACACATGCCATGGTATATAAAAGGATCAATTCGGATGTAGGCCAACGCATTCCCCGATGCAACACAGGATAATTCTACAAAGACGACTTGCAGCAATACTTGCCACAAGTATATTCTCAGGCAGAACTACTTGAAAAAAAGGCTTCAAACAATAGCTTTTGTATTTGAGCCTAAAGCTTGAAGACGGCATCCTAGCATAACTCCTCTTTTAAATCAGATGATCGACAAGCCATATCCAAATGACATAATGTACTTGTCGGCTCTCAAATGGAAGCATTTGGGTGGGTGGGAAGAAGAAGAAGAAGAAAAAGAAAACCCAGTAGAAACTAAGTGCAAATGGGCAATAGAAAGCCAAAGATAGTGATTTGAGAAACAAAAGTAGCACAAGGCAGACCAAATGTGATATATGCTTAAGAAAAGCAGTGTCTGAGAAGCAACGACACTTACAAACTATATAGAATCGCTGCTCAAGGCCTTAAGAGAATATCCACAACACCAAAAATGTAAACCAATTCAAAGACCCAAAAAAAAAACAGCTCAAAGAGCTTAAAAATAAGCATAGTAGCTAAAAACAACCCAAGTTGTAAATACAAGCACAGCAAATAGACTGTGCATGTATGAAAAAGACTAACTGAGAAATGTGAGCAAGTACCCAGATGCATTAGCAACAGAGAAATTGCAAATATGAGTCTGAATCCTCTCTCCATATGCTCTCCAACAAATCTACTCTCCATCTCTAACACCTCTTTATCTTCCCCCTTGGTCCTCTCACTCTTCACTCTTTAGTTGCAGATTGCAACAATTATCTCCACGCAAAATGCTAGCTCTACAACGTCTCTCTCTCTCTTCCGGGTAAGAAGCCTCTCGGAGCTCGAGGGTAGTGGATAGTGAGTGACTATTAGGGAGAGGGAGAGGGAGAGGGAGAGGGAGAGAGAGGATGGTCAGTACGGAAGAAGAGGTCAGTGTGCGGGGGGCAGAGTGTGTCAGCAAACGTTCGTAGGGGATTCCAAATACAATTTTATCAAATATAGTTTAGTGGATCGTCTCGATTCCGCAGCTTTAGAATGGCATGTCTGTTCTGTTCGCCAGGAACAGAATAGAGCAGAACGGATCAGAACCGATCACTACATGCCAACATCAACGGTAAAGAAGCTATAAAAGTTAAAAAAGCCAACACAACACTAATCTCCTTTTATGTTTTGTTTTGACAACATTTGGCTTTGGAGTGAGAAAAAGATAGGTCACTATCCTATACAAATTGAGAAGAAATCATCTCAAATCTGAGGTGGGGTATTTTTGATCAATACGTGTAAGATTTATATATCAATCAGACAGTATTTTAGGTTAGGATTAGAGCTCTTAATTGATTTTTATTATGGTTACTCAACTTATATTCAATTCACTTCTGTTCATATGTAATTCACTAACTGTATAAATCGTGTTTAATTGTGTACATATAAATATGTTAATTTAATGAGTTTATTAAACTACTCTTGGGTAGTGTTATTAAACTCCGCCCAATTCGACCGACAAATCGAAAACCCGAAACCGGTGCCATAACTAGGCGAAGCCAGGTAAGTTATTGGATTATTTAAACAAATAATCCACCAAAATCCATTTGAATTGGGCAAGTTTTAACAGACTCGTATGACTCTGGGGATTTTTTGATTATTTTTAGGGTGTGGGTATAATTTTTTAGACTTATTTGAGAAAAATGTGGGTGAAACTTTTTTTTTTAGAATGGGTGAAACTATTTTTTTAGAATTCTGTTTCCTGTCATTTTTTTCTTTGGTTTCAATTGTAAACTATAGTAGGATGAAACTATATGCTTTACATTTTGCAAAAAAATTATAGCGGCTCTTATAGTTTTTGGTATTTTTTTGACGTGTAACTGTTTTTTTTTTAGGATTTTTACAGGCGAAACCCTTTTTTTAAGATTATCATGGGTGAAACTATTTTTTTAGGATTATAATGGGTAAAACAGTTTTTTTAAGATTATGATAGGTGAAACAACTTTTTTAAGAATATGTTTTCTACCTGCTTTTTCTTTGGTTTTAATTGTACACCATAGTATGATAAAATTATATGTTTCTGCAAAAAAATAGAGCAACATTTTATATTTATAAAATATCTAAATAATGTTATTATTTGATTTTCTTTGGTGTAACTATTTATGTTATAAGATATAATGTCATTTATTTTTTTATTATCATACTCAGGAATGAAGGGAATCGTGTTATTTTTTATACAAATATGATGGTAAAACGTTTGTTACTTGGTGGACGAAACTGAGATTTTGTTGCCATCAACTAAAAGCAGCATGACCAACCCAAAAAATGTAGAGTGCTGTCAAGGTGGAACTTATTAAGCAAATTCAACGTTGGCATTGTAGACTGTTTGGGAGGCACAATAACAATACTTGTAATCAGCTTATGTGATTGGATTATTTTTTAAAATTAATAAAATTCTATTAACTATTTTTTTATTAATATCACGTAATTTTTTTATCATTGTCGTATTATTTTTTAGTCATTTTATGTGGACATATTACTGTGGAGCTTATAATTTATGAAAAGCACACCATATGGTATATCTCTTTTCATAGTTGCAGATTTTGATATCAACACGACAACAAACAAGTGCACTATTCAGTCACACCAATCATTTGCACTTACCATATGATACACAAAATAATTATTGATGTGATCTGAAAACAATTACACTCAACAATCACTGATGATATATAACACCAACCAGTTATAATTGTCCCAAGATACACTAATAATTTATTCATGTGTTCTGAGAATAGTTAAACCAAATAATTACACCAATCAAACAAAATTGTCTTATAATATATCAAATAATTATTCATGTGTTCTGAAAAAAATTAAACTAAACAGTTACTGAAATTATACAACACCAACCAATTACAATTGCCCTGTGAGACACCAATAATTTATTTATATGTTCTAAAGACAAGTTGATCATGCAATTACACAAATTATGAGACACCAAGTAGTTATAATTGTCCTATTATATACTAAATAGTTATTCATGTGTTCTAAAAATAGTTACACTAATCAATTCATTTCATCATTTAATTGTTTAGTTAGACCAAAGAGTCATACTATTAAGTTTTACTATATAATTACATCAATTATACACATCAAATTAGATGAACTAAAAAATTACACCAAGAAGGTACATCATATAAGGACATCAAACAGATAAACCAATGACTTGTAGTATTAAACCAAAGTATTACACCTGATAGTCACATCATCTAGTGAAAACAAATAGCTACAACAACGACATATATCAAACAATTTTACTAAAAAAAATTATAAAAATTTTTAAACCTAAAATGTGAAAAGTAATCTAATTGAAATTGCAATCCATAAATGACTTCCCAGAGATTCTTGTCTTCCAAATCTTTACAATATTTTTTATTTTATTTTCAAATTTGCCCAAGACTAAGGGACGAGATCTATGCTTCCTAACTTTCCGTCTTTTTCATTAATGGAGTTGAAGATGACGTTTGGGATCAAAATCGGTTTTGCACTATTTTCCCTTCAACCTAATGGCTTTTTGATCATTATATAAAAAAATGTACTTAAGTCCAAATAAGTTTTTATGTTGTATTTTAGCACAAATAAGTCTAGATTTTTATACCAACTTATGTATTTTCCTTTTTTGATCTCTTATATCTTCTATAAAGTGCCATTTGTTTGCCCTTAGCCCAGCCACTCAGGGCATTTCATACTCACTTCACGCGTTATTTGTCAAAGTACGACATCTTATAAACAATATTATAAATTTATGAAATTTTTGAACTTATTTATCAAATTATGATATTTAAAAAAAAATAGATTTATTAATCTCGCTTTTGTTAAAAAAACGGAGCTGTTGACTCCACTTTTGTAAGAGAAAGTTGAATCCGCTTGAGTTTGTTTTTTAAGAAAAAGTCAAAAATAGAGTCAACAATATTTTTTTTGACTTTATTTTTTTAAAATGTCGTAGTCTGGTAAATTATTTTTTTTAAACAATTTAGTATATAAGTTCAAAAATGTCAGAAATTGATAATATTGTTTAAAATTTGTCATGTAAATAGCTCCGAGAACGATGTTACTTGGATTCTAAAAGTCAATATCATTTACTGACTCTATTAATCATTGTTATTGATTTAATTATGAATTTCAATATTTATTGAAATCTATTATCTATTTAATAATTGTGATCGATAAATTAACAAATACTGTCAACTTTTGAAGTCAAAATAATATTTTCCTTCGACAAAAGTGAAGCTGCTGATGATAACTTTTGCCAAACCAGCCATATTGGGAATATTAATATAGTTATTATAATTTTTTGACAGAATTATTATTTTTAATAAATATTTGGTATAACCGATATGACCAATTTATTTATCCGGTCTGATAAAATTGTTCAACCCAAATTTATTTACAAAATCTTGTATCTCAAGTGATGTGTCAAAATCCTATATATTGAATATTTAATAGAGTTAGTCGATTCCAGTGATCTAACTACCCACATTAATTTGTGATTTAAAATTTGATAAATAATTTGATCAGCATAACATTACTCTATACTGTTTAAATATGCTTACTAAATCTTGTATTCTAAGTGATTTATCAAAATCTCAAACATTGAATATAATAAATTATAATTAGCATATAGCTTGGATTACTTTAATCTTCCTTTCCGATTATGCTTTGTCTATTTTTCAAGCTCTACATTTGTTTTTTAAATAACTACGGTAGAGTGGCATGTTCTGCTCTCGTGACTCTTATTCTAATCAAAAGACTAAAGACACCTACCGAAGATGCCGGTAGCACATTTTATTATCAATTAGGTGTAATTTGTGCTGAAGGTATTATGTAATGTGAATAATTTTGATAAGGACGTTGATGATCAAATCTATTTGAGACCGTCCAATAAATTTATTAAAATTTAATGACAATACTTTCTTTTTTTCTTTTCAAATGGTTTTTTTTTTTTGGGTAAATTACACTCACACTTGCTGACATTTGACTTTATTACACGGACACCCCCTCACATTTTAATAATTACACTAAGACACCAATAGTTAGACGTAGTTAACTATCTTAATAAAAAGACTATTTTGCCCTTCTGTTTAACACAAATTCAAACCCAAACCCAAGCCTTAATACCTAACCCTTCCAGTGCATTCTCTCTCTCTTCTCTCTCCCTCAGCCTATCTCTGATTGTGCGTGTATATATATACACATACACATAGACTTAGTCTTCTCTTTCTCTCCCTCTCCCTCAGCCCATCTATGTGTGTGCGTGTATATATATGTAAATACATATATACATACACACAGACTTAGTCTTCTCTCTCTCTCTCCCTTAGCCCATCTCTATGTGTGCGTGTATATATATATACATACAAACATACAGAGAGAGGGAACCCAACAACAAAGTCATCTCTCTGTCGCCTACAATCACTCATCATCAACACCACAACAAAATCATCATCGCCAATACCCAAAAAACTCAAAACTCGATCTAAGATCGATATTCCAAATTTGAGTTCTTCATGGTCAAAATAAAGCAAAGAGAGTTTTTAAATTTTTGAGATTGATATTCAAATTTGAGTTTGGTGGATTTGTGTGGTGGATTGTGGCAGTGGACTTGCGATATTTGGTGGGTTTGTGGTGGATTGTGGCGGAGGATTCGCAGTGCTTGGTGGATTTCACTGGAAGGTGAGTTGTGGCGATGGAGATTGATGGTTTGGTGGGTTTGTTGTATTGTGGATTTGGGGGCAAATTCGGTGGGTTTGTGTGGTGGATTTCATTGGTGGTGGAGATGGTAATTGGTGGTGCATGGTGATGGTGATGGTGTTAATGATGTTAATTGTGTATAAATTCGAATTGAATTTGGGTGCTAAATTTAAATTAATGAATGAAATTAACTATAATTGAAAGAA